GAAATTACATTTCCTGTTTCCGTGATGTAGTTGTTGTATAACCTTGCGTTTTGGTTGAATTACTGATGGTTGTTTGAGTTTTTCCAGCTTGACATTCTGCTGTGGAGTTTTGTGGTATGTGGTGTTTTTCTCAAAACATAACAGCATGTACTTTTCACCAGAAAGTTCAACTTTTGTCCTCTCCGTTCACACAACATCGCTGCAGCGGTGTTGTTGAATATCTTGGTGGTCTTCTGCCAATTGTGAGATGGACAGCAGTATGTTGTTTTTTTTCTTCTGTAACCTCCTGTGAGTAACTTCCTTTGCAGTGCTTTTCTTGGATCTTGGTGGATCGGTGAGTTATCGAGAGATAGGAGATCCTGCAGATCCTTTGAGGGATTGTCTCTGATCCTCAATCAACTTTGTAAATGAAGAGTATGACTGGAAGATCCTCTGTGGGACACCAGTCTCCGCTGTCATCCAGGGTTGTTGTATCTTCTCTGAAGACTCCATGACATGCCCTTGCACTGATCTTTGTAGGACACTTACTCCTAGGGAGTAGAAAGCATGTTGACATTTTTAATTTTTTTCTTCTGCACTCAATAGATTTCAGTTGTGCGTTCTTATAGTTCTGTTCAGAAAGTTTTCCTGTACATCCGGTTTTTTTTTTTGTTTTGTTTTGTTTTTTTGCCAGTGGACCCTGAAATGTCTTTTGGTCAGAAATCTTTTAGTGCTTTTGATCTACTTAAATTACTTTTCATCAATTGATTATTCAGTTAGAGTTTCACAATGCTGTGAGCCATTGGTTAAAGGTACACTTGATTTAAAAAAAAAAAAAAAAGTTAAATTTCTAAGGCTTTCAAATCTCACCCCACCCCCACACAAATGTTCGTGCATCATGTTTTCGTATAAGACATAGAGAAGAAATCATATTTTCTTGGTATGTTATTTAATTGTATACAAAAATAATTTATATTATATTTTTTGCAGGTATATTGTTCCTTTGACTATTGTTAAATATAATAATTAGACTGGCGACCTGGATGAAACGCTTTAAAGCTTAAGTCAATGGAAAACCATTGAAACTTTGAACGGCCATATCTCCGTAACGGAATCTCTGAATCCGCACCAAATTCGGGGGATCTCTTCAGCTCAAGGAACCCTCTCGAACGCGAATCGAGTGTACGTCTCGAGGCCCTCTTTCGAATGAGACCACCTCCGCGTGGATGGCCCCCGGGGTTCAGGAGTTACGGGTGGTTAAATTCGCGGTCTGGCGCAGACCGATCTAGCGATCCCGGGGGGCTACCGACGCGCGGAGGGTGGTGTTTGAGAGGGCTCCTGGAGCTGAAGGGATTCCCCGAGTTTGGTGGAGATCCGCCGGCGTGTTCGCGAGATAGTGACACCAGTCAACACTTTCCCTTCAGTAAGGAGGTTTC